TTTTTTTCTTTTTATTTTTAATGTCATTATGTGCTTTAAACTTTGGTAAAACTACTTTATTACAAGCTGCAATGCCTTTAGGATTCCCTAAGATTGAAATGCGTGGAAAATTAGCCATAGGAATTACTGCCAATTTTATTAATCGAGGTACAGTCGAAGAGGAAAAAGTTCAAGAAATAAGGTAAGAGTAATAATGTATTATCTCTCATTTAGTTTGATTTAGTTTTTTTTTATTCTGCCCAAAAAAGTTTTGTACTTTTTTTGGAAGGATTTAATTAGGCAGGTGCATTGCAGTGGCGTGGCTTATATATTCAACCAAAAATTTTTCAACGATATGAAAGCGGCAATGAATGTTGATTTGGAAAATATAGTATATTATAAAGATGAAACGCACTACTTCGTTATGTGTGCTAAGAAACAAAGTCTTCTGGACAGGAGGGTTTTAATAAAGGTAATATATATCACTTGCAGGTATGGGCCTGTTCGTTTTACTATTGAGTGTTTATGTTTTAAGTCAATATGTAAACTTGTCGGCTCATTTTAGGATTATGACGACATATCTTCGCTCTTGTCACCCTCAAATATTGACCAGGTACTTTTGAGTCCGCAATTTGTTTAAGGGAAATGATTGTTTGTCAGTGAAGTTCCTCTTAATTGTAGTTATTTCTTGGTTAGAATAGAGGTTCTTTTCTGAAGCCAACTGATATAGTTTTTTATTTGTAGATTTCAGAAATTTAAAGAGACTACCGTTGTTCAGATTTTTTAACCAGCAGTTTAATATTTTTTCTGCGTGATTATAGGTAGAAGTCCTAGGAAAAATGATCTACTGTTTTTGAAAACTGATTTCTCTGTTGTTTTTTTTCCCTCTGTTTCGTTATCGTTTATTTCTATTGTATCTATCTGCATATTGTTGTTTTTTTAAAGACATTGAGTTGAAAATTAAAAGCCTTTTTGGGCTATAAGCGTGGAATGTGCGGCCGAAATTTACATCTTTTAAGCGAGGACTCTTTGCCGTTTTATTTCCATAGAGATGAGCCAATGCAAATACTGATAGTCAGTTGATTTTTTGGGAAGTTTTTTGTTCTTTGATATCAGGAAACCGTTTTTGTTTGGTAATTTGGAAGAGCATCTGGTAAGAACACAATTTCGCGACGATAACGGGGTTGTGTTAGCTGTGCAAGGCTTATTCCGTCTTGTATAGTTTAAATTTTTGGTAGGACCGTTTACGGGTTGAAATATGAATATGAAGGATGGTCTCAAATAAACGGGCTCTATATTCTAATGTTAAATTTTCTTCATAAAAGGACAACGGTATATATTGAGTTATGGAAACTCTTGGTTCATTTTGTAACGTACCATACAAGTAAATGTTTTTCGACTCTTCCAACTTATGTTACGACATTTCAGGAAGAATTATGCGGTTATGCAGTAGCTGCTGCAAATTTTGCTACAAATAATAAATTACCAGATTTGACTTTTGCAAGAACTTCTAACGGAAAGGAGGACGTTGCTGTATTTGACTTTACTTCGCTTTATTCAGCAAAATGTTCAGTGAGAGTAGTTGAAAGGCTTGATCGACGGCTATTAGTCGCTATTGTTGGAGACAGCTTGCACGAACCATTCTGGCCAAGTGGGTCGGGCTGCGCTCGTGGTTTTTTGGGAGTGTTTGATGTAGCGTGGATGTTAAGAAATTACGGCCTAGGTCAACAAGGGATATTGCGTATAATTGTGGAGCGAGAAGATATCTACAAGCTGCTTGCTCAAGCCAAACCTGAAAATCTGCAAAAAAAATTGCAACAAGTATGTATCTTTTTAGAAATTAATTTATTTCCTTTTTTATTAAAATTCGGATTGAATGAACCTGTCCGATCTCATGTGGGAAGATAAACAGCCAAAAATTTTCTAAATTTTTTAATCCGAATGTCTTTTCAGCAACTTTCTCAAATCTTGTTTTTATCATAGAGAAAAAAAACTAATTTTTTGCAGTATACGATCGACCCTCGAAGCAGATATTTGAATTTGGAGGTTTCAGTACAACCTTGTGATGTTTGTGGTCTTGTCGACACAGATAACCCTCGTGATGTTGATGTAGATGAAGTATTACCATTGCGTGTAGACGATGGAGAAGAATTAGTTGAAGAAGCTTTTTTGGAAAGGTGTTATTTTTTGCTTACTAGCTTGTTTAGCATTTTCAGCAATAAGTCTCCTTGTTTCTTCTTCGGGTTTAAACAGCTATGCATTAGGTCAGCTTAGGAATCGGACCATTAACTTTTAACGTATTCGAAGTAGAAATTTTTACAAAAAAAGTAAAAGGATTCTGTATCGCTTGTTTTGAAATACTTTTCTGCTTATAAATATGCACTAATTTGAACCAAAAACACTGATTTTTTCCTCTGTTTTATCTGTTTTTACCGTGACAATGGCGTTCGTCAAGAGGCACTTTAAAATGCAGCTCGCTATTTTTCCTTTATCTTAGTTTTTGTAATAGGGATTTAAAGTTGTATTTAAAGCAAAATTTTCAGGTGTAGACTTGTAAGGTTCTGTCAGCAAGCTCTTCATCCCTACAGGCTCAAAGTTTACAACTTTGATGAATGGTAGTAATTTCATTTGTTATGCTTTCGTTTATTTGTTATCATAGTATATGATTAGAATCAAGTTGTTTAACAGAGAAGGGAGCGGTAGCAGCAAAATAGGTTAGAGAAAAAAATTATTGCATATATGCACTGTACCACTGACTACAACTTAAATAATTCCTTTACTTTATAAGTTTTATTCAGCTCGCGGCTAACACACATCAAAAGGTTATGCTTGACAATTCATTATTTTCACTTAGAAGTGGGGCGTGAGATATTACATTTTTTGATTTACTATTTTATCAGCAAGCCAATAGACAAAGCGTTGTCTAATTTTCCGAGGAAATTGTGCATTGCCTTTACTGCATTACGTTCATGACGTACGTGCTTTACATACTTTATGCATCAAAGTTTATTGGGTAGTTTATTTTTTACCTACTTTTTGAGGCAGTTTTCATCCGAAGAAGTAAATTTTGAGGTGATAATGCAGTTGTTTCAAACACGTGAAAAACTTGACTGTGGGTACCAGTAAAACTGAGTGGGTAACAACCTACCTTACTGCCCTCTGGTGTGTGGATCTCAAAATTACAAAAAAGGAATTGAATTAAACTTGAATTAGAAAATATTAGGGCTTCTGGCACTAATGACCGATTTCATTAGAATCCCTGAAATATTTTCTTGAAAAAATTGAAAAGGAAATCAAATGGTACTAAAACATGCGAAATATCATCCGATGCAGAGGAAATACAAAAACTACGGGCCAAAGAGGGTTTATAGGAAGTTATAAATCCTTGAAGTGTGAATTTGGCTGACTTTAAATGGTCATTACTGAATGCACTTTGATTGGTACGTTATTCACCAATGATTTTCAAAATTTCCTGGAGGACTTCTTAAGATTCCAAAGTGAATCTTCTCGCTTTTGGTAAATGCCACCTAAAGTATCCTCATTTCTGTCCCAGAAGAATGCAAGCGTGAACAAAAATGCTGCTTCTTATTAGCATTTTGGAAGAGGGCTCTTACTCATTGTTTATAGTTTGCAGTTTTATTGTACTTTTTGCTGTAATATCTGGAACTTTAATATGAAAAAGCCTCTTTGCTAACTGTACACAGAACCTCACATTTTACAAGGGTCAGAAGACGTAGACATTGTTTAATGTAACTTTTGTCCCATTGTTTGTCGTTTTTGTAAGATAGGGTTTATCGCTGTATTTTCAGTTGGGAAGATGGGCGAGCATTAGCTGCTTTGTTAGCGAAGTTTCGACCAAAGCTTATAGATTACATCGAGTTATGTCTCGAGACAGACGTGGATGTTGTTTTCGAGGTCATTATTGATAAATTACTTTTACTGAATTCTGGAGCACTGTCCGAACACCTCTGCTGCAATATTTAAATAGAAACGTTCTGGGCGTGAAAAAGGAGTAATTTAAAACATTTTTAGCGCATTGCTTCTGTTGTTGAAAGCATGTGTGGTATTATATGTAATTTCCACTCAGCGGCGGACTGGATCAACTTGGGCACTGTTGGGCGTATTGACTTTATTCAGAAACTGATCACAAATTTCAAGGACGACCGGGAGAGGATGGATGAAATACTTCTGAATTCTATTCGGGCCTCAACGGCAATGAAAATGAGAAGTTCTGGACATTGTAGCGAATCTGTGAAAGTTTGAGCTTCATAATTCTGGAAACTCAGTCGATCTTTATGTAAATACATAGTTTTGTTACTGTTATTTACAGTTGAGGACTGAAAGTAACCGACAATGTCATGCAAATGGCTTTCATCCGGGTACAAATTTTCGCTCCAATTCTGCTGAAGAAGATGACCTCGTGATCAAAGATTTTCTAGACAGTCGTTGTGGCGAGCTTGATGAAGAACAAGTTGTTTTTTCATTGTTTTTTCGCTTAATATAAACTATTTTTCGATCCTTTTTATAATCTTGTCAACGAGCTTCTAATTTTTGAGTTTTTGTTCCTTAAAAACTAATAATTTTTGCAAGACGTCTAGTAAAAGAAATTTTTCAAAGTTAATTGTAATACAGAAACATTTAAAACAAAAGCACTTTTATTATTTCCGAAGCTACCTCAATTTGTTTCTTCAAATCAAATGAAAAAATACTTGAATTCATTAAAAAGAATTTTAAAATTTTGAAAACTATACTGATCTGGATTCTTCAGATTCGAGAACTTTTAATGCAACTCGATGAAGAAGATTTCGAGTTAGATTCCGAAAGCAAAACTAAAAAAGAAAGTGGTACTGGTTTTGCGGATTTTGAAGAGATGAATCGGAAAATTTATTTTGATGAAGTCGAGACCAAACCTTACACTAAAAGGCCAGCTGTTGACAAATTGGATCCTAAACGTTTGAATGCTGTAATGATCTTTTCCAGTTTACCGTTTGAAAACTTTCGCAGTTTTTAAGTTTTCTCACAAGCTTTCTTTTTTATATTAGTAAAAACTTTAGACATTTTTTCATTAGTATCGTATACATTTTTAATTCTTTTTTTATTTTTTTTTCAGCGAATGTACTGGCAGGGTCAAATTGTGCAATCTGTTTTCTGCGCAACTTTTTCATTTTTTCTGATTGCTTCTTCAGTTCATTTTGATATTAAAATTTACTGTTGTTTTTTTATATCAGTAACTTAAATATTTACTGACAGCCAAGTAGATTTAGGTGGAAAAAATCATAACTGGTGAGGTGGAAGCTGAAAAATTACGGGAATTGTATCGGAGTAAGCAGAAGGAAGCTAAATTACTTGCTCGTAAGATGGACAAAAGAGACATAACGGAAATGGAGGAGAAGTTGGAGAAAACTGCTATGGGTTTATTGTTTGATAAAGACCATTACAGAAGCATCACTACTAAAGAGGAAAAGGTTTTAATATTTTAAACTCATGTTGCTGCTTAACGTTGAGTGCTCTTCATTTTATTGGTTCCAGTATGCCAGAGGTCATTTTTGACTGTTTTTCATCAGGTGCATTTTAAAGTAGGTTAATGTCAAAAACAGTGTACTGTGTACTGCTGACATGTACTGCTGACATTTCAAAGCTTTTTTCAGATTATGAGCACAAACGCTGCAGCTGCTCGTCAGGTAGCTCAAGAGGGGTTCAGGAAACTCAGTGAAAAATACAAGGTTAATTTTCTACTATAGGTGTTGTTAATTCAGTGTAGCTTCTTTTCACTTCGGTAATGTGAATTAGAATTATAATGTTTCAGGATGTTGATGCGAAGTTATTAAGAGCTGATACACTTCTAAAGAATAACGATCTTGCGGGTGTTAATGCAGTCACAAGGATGCGGCAGCAAAATCGTGATTTGTTTGCGAAGAGGGTAAGCTGTTTATTTGATGATCTGTTTTATTAAAAATACCGTTTTACATTTTTTGTTTTACATCAGCGGTAGGTTTAGAGTTTTTTAATTTGTAGTTCAGAGTTCTTTCAATTTTATTTGAAAATGTATATAGATTTTTCTTGAGTTCTACTGGCTTTTTTAGAATGGTTCTTACTTTTTACCGATTTAGCCTTAATTTTTGATATTTGCTTCATTATTTAACCGCTGTTTTCAAGAGGAAAAACAAAATTTTGTATATTAAAGGCTTTACAGTCAATTAGGTTTAGGGATGTTTCTGGTATTTTTCCATCTAATATCTATTTTGGACTCAGGTTTGCTGTCATGTTTTTATTACACATTTTTTGAAAAAAGAAAGAAATTCCGCTGATGACTCTTAATGCGACTAAGGCTATTGATTTTGAAAAACGGATAGAAAAGATGGTCATGATTTTTTGTATTTTTTGCATCTGTGGTTCTTTATTTCAGAAGTTTCTTGTTTTTTTGTGGTTTCTTCGGGTATTTTCTGTAGAGGAAATTGCTGTTGTACGGATGCCGAAATTAATGGACTGAATTTTTTTTTCAAGCTTTTTGTTGGGGATTTGTGCGTGTCAATCTCTATGATTTTTTCAGCGGCTTTCGGTGCCTTTGGCGACTGATGGTTTGAAACCGTTACCACCACCAAAGCGATCAGTGGTTTCTAGAAGCACAGTTATAAAAAATGTTGAACATGTAAACTATTTTACGTTTTTTAGTTTTATAATTCTTACGTACGGTTTTATAGCAGCTTATAAAGCATAGGTGGTGCAGAGCTCTTGTGTGAGTTAATTGTGAAATTCTGATCAGATAAACATCATCTTTCAGTCTTTTTCGGAACAACACAATAATCTAGTAACTAACCAACAGCACACCTGTCAGTTGTGCTTCAAACCTGCATATCTTGCGGAGCGAATTCAGGTTGAAGGTGTATCTATACATAAGAAATGTTTTCGCTGCGCGTATTGTTATCGTCCTCTGAGGATCGGGGATTGTGGCCAGGATAGGAACCTGGAAAAGTATAATCCTAGGTTGACCTTTTTCATTTTTTACTTCTGTCAGTGTTTCTTTGGATTGCACTGAAAAGAAACTTTGGAAAGTCGCTGTTTCCCTTTTCTTATAGTCTAACCACTTCAGTTTAGCTTATCAGATACTCGACTTGGTTGGCTGCCGGAGGTTTCTTAATTTGTTGCTTGAAATCTTTAAAGAGTTACCAATTTCTACAGTGAACGCTCACGTTTTACCAGCATTTTATTTTGGCTTATTGACAGTTTCAGGTTCTTTTGCATGCAGCACTTGAATCTCCCCTTGCGTGAGAAGATTATTCGGATAGAGAGTAAAAGAATTTTGAGTCGGAAAGGATCAAAAAGTTTGTTTATTTTAATAAAATTTCTCTTTCTTCTCACTTTCTCATTAATATTTTAACTGTACGTTTTGCAATCTAGGATTATCAGTGTTGCTTACATTATTGAATTACTGATACTCTTTCTGTTAATCAATTTCACTGTGAAACAACAGAAGAATTATCATTTTTTCTGCAAAGTATAAAAGCGTTTCTAGGACGTGCGTTCAGTTAATTCGGCGTAGATTACTCAATTTACAATTGAAAAACTTGCCAGAAATTTTTTAAATATAGGAACGATAAGTTCTCACAGCTTTCGTCTCTATTTACTGAATTCCGGTTGAATTTTCTTATACTGCAATTCTGGTCCGATTTCATTTCCCTGAAGAAACTTTTTGAAGTGTCATGGAGATAGAAATTGGTTACTACTTATGTCTATGAAATTTGAGAGTAAAGTTGAAAGTGATGCATACTTTTGAGAGTTTCTGTTTGTTATATACAAATAAAAATTTATTCTAAATCTGTCAATATTAAAAATATTTATTTTTCAAGTAAAAGCAGGTAATATGGTTTTCATCCTTGTGAAGTAAGCGGATCTATACATTGTATCCTGTTTTTTTCTTTCAGCTTGTAGTTTGCGATGTAAAATATGAGATAGAGTTTTTTAATTACTGATTACGGGGTTTACTGGTTTAGACAATATCGCTTGTAATAAGCTTTGACTTTATTAACAGATGGTTTTTAGGTGAGCTTGGAGCGCATGATGCAAATCGAAAGTCTTGCGGTGCTGAACTCTTATCAAATGGTCCTGTTGTAGTTCAGAAAACTTTACAGACCGAAAGTGAAGTACGTTATGAAATTTGTTGTGGTATCTAATATATCACTTTTGACCTATTTTTCTACACAAAAGACTAAGGAAGTCGGTGGTTTTGGAAAATTGTTTAGTTTTTCAAAATAATTCCCAAACAAATATTGTGTAATATTTAATGCTCGTTACAGCTTTTTTGAAAAAACATTCCAAACCAGCATCTTTATTCTTTCCTACTTTTTTGTTATTTAGCCTCTAGACGTCCGGCGCAGTAGCTCTTCCAATACGCCCTCAGTAATCCTTGAAAAAACTTTGGAAAAAATGCGAATAATGAGAAACAATGTTAGCGCGGTAGCAGTTGTTGAGAACAGGATAACAGAGAAAGCAGCTTTGGAAACCTTTGCGAGTGAAAAAAGAACTAACGTAATTGTTTAAAAAGCGTTACTCATGTTTTTCACTTAGGATATTATAAAAGATGACGTTTTGAAATGCAGTTATCAATTTTTTTCAAAGACCATTACTTGTGAAATAAATAATTTCATGTATGTGCTCTTCCCTCTTACTGTCAGTAGTCTTTGATCCTAACATGTTCGTCGTCATTCTTTGATATGCACCTACTTGTTGTTCGCTATTTATAGGATGAGCAACGACCTGGACGGAGGATGGTCAACGGTCGAGGAAAGCCGCCCCTCATCTCTACAAAACCGCTCCCTGAGCGTACTTTTCTAAATGGTTTTCCTCTAACAAATCTGGAGAGCTCCCCAGTCAAACGTAATAAACACTTCTTTACGTTCTTTTATCCTAAAAAACAAAGGAACAATTTTTATTAGCATCTTCCCGCTCTATGGCTTTGATTTATGAGGATTTTGCAATTATCTCCTAAGAACTATTCTCGATTTCGTTTATTCTGTTTAGCAACTTGTAACGAAAGTTCCTCGTCTGATGAAATATCTGATGCCGACCTCGCCGAGTTGGAAAGGAGCGTCATTGAGAATATGGACAACAATGCCAGTGATGCATTAAGCGATGCTCAGGTTTGTTCTTTTGTAAAATTTCTTTTAAAATCTAGGGCTTTTTGTACTAGATTTGTCTTTTTTTGTCTTAAAACGCTAGTCTTGTTATCTCAGAGCAGCAAGGAAGTTTTATTTTTTTCATTAAAAGTTTAGTGGGATTTCTCAAACTATTTAGGCTCTTGAGCTCATAAAATCTTTTGATAGACGGCGGTCCTCGAAACAGAACCTGGAAGTGAATTCCTCTAAAGATATGCCATCTGACAAACGGCATTCAGACGTAATTATAATTGGCTTTGCTTTCTGAACTTCGTGACATTTCATATGACTGCCAGTATTTAAAATGAGTTTTAAAAAAAAAAAAATTTCAAATGAATTTTCAAAATATAATTTTTTTTTTGATCTTTTCGTTGTTATTTGTAAGTTTTTTATAGTATTGGCAAAAGTTCGCTCTATTTTGTTGCAGATTGGTGAAAAAAACGGCGACGTAGCTGTAAAGAAGGGTTTAGTGACGAAACCTCTTTCTTCTGACACGACCGATACTGGTCTCTTTTAATAAATGAAACTTATTTATTTTCAAATTAGTGTAGTGTAGTGCTCAAAGTTATGCTGATTACCTAGCCTAAACTTTTTTTACTGTCGACTAAGTCTAAGATTTAAAAGATAAATTTATGATGAGTAAAGTTGTTAAAATATTTTTTCTTGCTTAGGATTGCTGTGCTTTTCAGAATGTACTTTTTTTTTTCAGAAAAATTATCTATTTTAAGTTGGCCTCTTGTTTCATAGAAAGCTTGAATTTTTTATTCGACAATAAAAGTTAAATCTTCTGAAAAATTTCAGGGCTTTCTGAAGACGAGGAACTAAGTGTTGGTGTGGACAATTATTTGCTTTCTGAAATTTACAGTAAAAGGGTTTGTAATTATATTGTAACTATTTATTTGCGTTTCTTACCTTGGATTCTCCTTTGATCTTTTTTTTAAAAAGTAATTTTAGGATTCTAATCCAAACGGCACAAACGGTTTAGGAGATTTTAAGAAGAGTGAGAATTATATTTCTCAAACAAGTATGTAAGAAGCGGGACAAGTGACAGTACAAACTTTGATTTTTTTTATAAATTTTCGTGTTTTCTTTCTGTGATGTACCTTACGGAAACCACTTCATAATCGTTTTTTAAAATTGTTTAAAAATTGATTTTGTAACCAGTGTTATAGGAGATTCTGAGATACGGAAAGTCGCTGGTGGTTTGTTATCTAGCTTGTTTAATCCAGCAGAAACGTTTCAAATGAAAAGTCAGGAAAAATTAGGTAAGAGAAGTTGAATGATTTGTAACGTGTTGAATTGATGTTCAGTAATAAGGTTATTTTGACTGTAGTTCTAAACAGTGTTTGTTATACATTTTTTTTAGCGTCTTCTGTGGGAAGGACAAGGAGAGATTTCATACCAACTACCTCACTTCTCTCTCCAACTACAAAGAGAATTAATCAGCTTCGCGTAAGTATCTCATTTGTTATAGAAAATTCGAGGAATTTCGCTCTTACAACAACAGTTCAGCGGACGTTCAAATTTTGCTGATCGTTTATGATCTTAAAGAAATGCTTTTTAGCAGACTTGTAGTAGACGTGGTTACCAGGAATATTTTGTTCTGTTTTCCTTAAAGGATAATGTAGGATTTATATGGGTGAAAACAGTTACTTTGAATAAAACGGTTGTTATTATAACTTGGGATTATTTTGGGAGAGTTAATGAGTAAGTGAAAAACATTTGAAAACTCTGCATATCTTAATATTTGTATTCTGTCCAGCTCCGTTTTCTGGGTCATATTTTCTTCGTTTTTAGAAAAAAGCTGAGAGGATTAGGAAGGAACGGGAGAGTGAAAAGATGCGGGCAGCGCAAGAGCTACAGCGTTCTCTTGAAGAAGTTGAAATACAAAAAGCGGAAATTATTCAAGCTGGTTCTGAACTGGAAAAACAGCTTTGCAAGGGTACAATTCTTTGAAGCTTATTATTTTGGAAGAATAAAAATTGAATTATTTTTTTTAGTTACAGGTTGCTCTGATAAAACTAAGAGTGTTCCTGTACCTTTGGTTTTCCAAAAAACTGCTTTTTTAGAACTGTTATGCAACATTCGGTTTTACTTTCAAAAATATTTTTTTATTTTTTATGGTTATGAAAGCACTTTTCTGTACGGATAAAGTTACAGGCTCAGCATAGAAGATAGAAAGTAAAGGAGCGCAGTTTTGTAGTGCCCAGTTGTATTTATTTATATAACATTTTTGGGAAACTGGTGAGCTTGTTAGAATGTACAGCCATAGAAGAAATTTTATGAGCACACACCGATAAGTCTTGAAAATTTATTTGTATAAGAACTTTGCGCTTTCTACTCTCAAAATGTTTACTTCCCTGAAGCTTGGCTGTGGATTTTCTCAAGAATAATTCTTTTTCAATGTAAAGAAAAATAGAGTTGAATCCTTTTTAGACTAACATAGTTTTAAATTGGGAGGCGTTATTGAGCTAGTAAGGTTTGAAAGTTCAGTAAAATGAAGTGAATTTGTTTTGAACGGGTATTCGTGGAGCTCTTTTTCATCTTCAACCTTTATTATTTGTTAAAGACAGTTTGTAAGTTGATGCCACATACTTTACTTAACACTCCTTCGCAAAAAAGTCTTTTTGTGTTAGGAAATGAAATTAATGTAAGAACGGGCGGTTTATGGCGATGGTTACGGTAATCGCAATGTGCGCATGAACTTCTGTCAGTTGCAGGGTTATTCGTATAAAAAAATGATGAGTTACTGTATAACTCTTGAAGTTCATTAGGTTTCTGCACTTTGGAAGAACTTCTTAATCTGGTCTTAGCATATTTATGCCTGTTGTTGGTAGTACAAATTGCCACCGTTATTTCCATCGCTTTGACGTTTTTAAGGATGTAAAGATCTACTAAATATAGCATTTCTAAGTCCAAGATGTGTTCTTTCTTCTACCCGCTATTGGAGAGCAGAATGCTTTGACTGTTACTGATAATACGGCGTAAGGCTGACATTTTGTTTTAGATATTTTTGGTATATTTTTGGTCGATAAAACTGTTTTGGTGATGCAGTTTAAAGAACCGAATAAGCCAAGAACATTTACTTGCAACGGGGTAGCTTGTATCGTAGTTACCGTTCTAAAGTAAAATAGTGCTTTTTATAAAGGCCGTAACAACCTTCTGTGACCCTCTTTTTAACCATTCAGCAGCTTTTTCCCTTCTCTTTTTTAATAGGAGCCATTTTTAGTGCCGGAGCACTTGATTTTAGGATGTATGGCCTGTATAGTTGAAAATGAACACCTTATTTCTGCTGTTTGGGTTCCGCTTAATTTGTCTATTGGTTTTGATTGGGCCTGGACACAAGTGTTATTTTGACAGTTTTTGTTCTTTGTCCTTCTAGCCAGTGTCTAGCAATAAAGTGTGCTTGACCAGTGCTTTATTTAAGACCCAACGAATAAAGCTGTGTTGCAAAAATGGTTATTCTTCGTACTTAAAATGAAGAAACTGGAGTTTCTGGAAAAAAAATTGCTGGAACAAGTGGCAGAATATAAAAGTACAGGGAAATTCAGTGAATATAATGATTCTCTCGTAGCTCGAGGAGGGGAAGAAATCGTAAGTCAAGCTTTTTTATTATTGACCTGGTACTTCTTCATACCTGATGTTTATTAGTACAAGGAAAATTGTGCTCTTTTGCATCTATGCAAAAGTTTTTTTCAGGAAAAAGCTTCAAGTCCTACTCATATGTTGAGGGGAATGGAAAAACAAAGCTCTTTGCAAAAAGAACTTCAGAGTTCTACCAGGTTTTTTTTGTTTAGTATTACACATGTTTTTTTTTTTGGGGGGGGGGAATTTGGATGGTTCCAATATCGACGTCAGATCAGTTTACAATTTTTACTCTTTTTAGGTTAGATCTATATGACAAAGAGATACAAGCCCTTCTGAAAGAAAAGGGATGTTCGTATGAAAATTACTCCCCGTTCTTCGCAGTGAAGAATTAATCTTTAGACCAAATTTTGGCTTTTTGTACGCATTTCAAGAGTTTTATCAGCTGAACAGTGTTTGTTGTAAAAAGGATCTGAAGTGAATGTTTTATCGTCAGCTGAAGTACTTGTTTAAGTAGGCGGCTTTACGGTGTCGTTAATTGCCGCATTTCCGCTGTATTTGCTGTTTGAAAATACATTAAAAATTTTTTGTGACAGATTATTATTTATTGTTGCTTTAGATGGGTTTTGCACATGTGTAGTGTTCATGCCTCACCTAGATAGTAATCTTTTTAGAGGTTTCAGATCTGAAAATGATTGCATATTAAGATTTAATGTAACTTTTTGATTTTCGAAGAGTACGATGTCTTATTTCTTCAGGATTCTGTTAGTTTATTTGCCTAGGTGCTAATTCTTGAGCTTTGAACCTGTAACATTTAAAAAGGTGAACTTTTTGTACAGTTTTTGTAATATTTGGCTGTAGCTCCACATTTTTCTCTTTTTCAAAGAAAACTGAGTGCCCAACCGAAATGGAAGTTTGCATAAGAAGTATAACGCAGTTTCAAAAGGCGTTGCTCTCTTGAAATTCCCTTCCGATAGGTTCTTAAATATACATTTGGACGAGTTTTATTTACGAACGCTTGGTTCAGAAGTATTTCTATTTATTATAGGCATGTACGTATTTTTTTGATCTATGTTGCTTCTGTTGGGGACTGGGTATAAACTTCCCAGCAGCTCAAAATTCCCTTAAAATTTTCTAAAAGTGTTCTTTCTCATTGGTAATGTATTTTATTTTTGTAAATATCTATTTTGAACGGAGTATGGGTTCTTGCTAAGTACTGTTTTAGGTTTCTGATGTTCTCAGGATTTCTACTATTGTGAAGGCACAACCTGACTGTATTAAAAAATAATTCCTAAGGCTCATTATAACGTCTGATTTCGCAGTCACATTTGCAAAATCTGCTATTTTATTGCAGGTCATTTTGTTCCTCTCTCGTCTTGTGTGTATACATAATTGTCCTACATTCTTCTAAGAATTTTAAAGGAGAGTAGAGCTTTCTGAGGAGCTGGTAGTAAAGTGTATAGCCCTTGTTTTGAAAATTGTTAACGTTGATCAAGAAATAAACGTATTAGTGGAGACTTTAGTAGACTTGCGGTGTGAATATAAAATGTGAGTGTACTGAAGTTCAGAACAACATGCGGGATGAAGAACCTAGCCAGGGAGACAGCCAGAACTTAGTAGAGCCATCCAATCGCTCCAGTCAACAAGTTTTTCAGGACTCCAATCCTGGACTAAGCTTGCGAAGTGCTGAAAGAAGCATCTTTGATGCCATTCGGAGCAATTGCTAAATGTTGTCAAATGAAGTCTGTAAAGGACCGCAGTTGAGTTTCGCCTTATAATTCATACTGAAAACACTTCAAAGTACAACAGCTGAAGTCAGCATGGCAAAGCATATCAGCTCTTCCTGCTTTCTGGTCTCACGAATGATACCGGCGAGTTTACCGACACCCTAATTTCCACTCGCAGCAAAAGCTTTAATGAAGTTATTTTCTGTTTCCCACTTCCCCCACTCAGACTTTCAATTTACCCCTCATAAATGGACAGTGAGCATGAGTAGAGCTAGAAAGTGTTGCTGAAGCGTCTGAAAGGCTCCCTGCAATGGATCTATGGAAAAATGAGGAGCGTTAAGCTGTAATGAATAAATACTCAACAAATATTCAAATATTTATCAAAAAATTTAATTTTTAACAACCGTAAGTACGAATTTTGTTCAAGTCTCTAACAGCTTTTCCCCTGTGTAAGAAACGATAACCACTCAGTGTTACTGTAATTACTGTACAAAAGAAGAATTGTTTATTGGTGAACATGATGAAAAAGGCGTAATGGCTTTATAGTCTATCCCTTAATATCCGCATTTGTTTTTTTCAAATATTTTAACTTCTTCTTAAATTTCTTCGGATTGACGCCATAAGCCCGCAGCCTTTCATCGCCAAGTTCCAGTTCTCTGGCACGTTTCTTTACTTGAGACGTTTTTGATTTCCGTTTCCTGCGCGTCCTTTTCCCCGTTTTGTTATCGGCCTGCTCGACCCTCTGAAAACAAGAAAGTTGCTGTCAAGAACTAGCTATTACTCCGACTGTTATTTCATGCAAAAACATTAATGACTTCTTCAAGCAATAAACCTCAAGATTTCTTAATCAACGGCTGTAGAGAAAATCCAAATAAATGGACATGTCTTTTCTTTACAGTGACGTGTTTTAATCATGTGGTACATGTCGTAGTAAGGAATTTGTAAAAATTCACCAAGTTTTTGGAACTTGAAGATACCAATCGAAAAAATTTGAATATTTCGCTAAAAGCACATTTCTTTTCAAAACAGTAGACTTTACCAATCATTTTTTCAATGAAAGAAAGAAGACTAGTTATAAAAACGTACGACTAGGAGACCAAAAAACCTAAAAGAAGTTAACCAAGCAGCTGACAAAAACAAAAAATGACCTTTAAAAAATATCAAATAACAAACAAAGTGATCGATGAAAACATCACAAATTAACTTTTTTTTTTTGAAACTGCCTACTAAGTGCTGGAACCGGCCCAGCCATTCCTCCTTCCACAGAGAAATTTCATTTCAGTAACAAAGGTACTCGCGAATTCAAAATATAGGAGGCATTATTGAAATACAAAAACGCCTTACCTCTCCCACTATTTTTTCAATTTTTTCACTATCCTGCTCATGCAAAATCACCTTTTGTTTCTTTTGCATTATATCACTATTTTGAATTGCTGATGCTCCATGCGTTGACGAACCGTTCGCTTTGAGTTGTTTTGAGCTTTTCTTCTGCGATTTACTGCAAAGGTTTCAAAATCCTGAATACGTTCGGAAGGGGAAAGCAAGTATGAAAGAAAATTTTCTACTGTCAGAGGGAAAAAAGGTATGTTCTAGGAGGGATCGAAAAAAGAAAGCTTTTAAAGTTTTAAGCCAGAAACATATAAAACTCTGGCACTGTAAAATAAGAGTTAGTAAATTGGAATAAGATTAGGTTTTTTAAGCTTCACAGATCACGCCTAAAATATTTTTCACAAAAAACTTACTAATCACTCATAAAAAGCATTACTTGAAATATCTAGAAAGTTTTTCAGAAGCAAAGACTTCTAATAAAAAAATTAAACAAACCCCCCGTAATCAGTGCTAAAAATCCGCTTTTTCTTGTTTACATCCTGTGCTTTTCTCTGATAAGCAACTGCATCGTACTGCTCTTCCCTGTCTGTTCGATAAGCTGTTACCTTCTTCAGTGAGGCCCAAGCATTTAACTGTCGATCATCAGCATGAAGTATCTGAAAATTTTTCATAACTACTCAATATTTCGCAAACCTTGTTTACAATATTATAAGTACCAGCCGGTTTTTAAGCCCAAATTCCACCCAGAACAGTTCATCAACTTTAAGTAAAGAAATCAAATGTCTATCGCAAAAATACAAGTTCAAATTTTTTTAAATTTAGAAGTCCGAACCTTAGATTTTTAGTATCTTGACTTCTCAATATGTCATAGAAAATGAATACGGTCCTCAAACTTTATGTGTACAAACTTATAAAAAGATTTATCAGTTACGAAGACTAGTCAAAGTAATAAAATTGTCACTGTGATAGTTTTCTCGGAGAAGAAGAATGATAGATATCTGTTGAAAATGGCAACAATGAAGGCGTAATTTTTATGACTGCCTTCCACTTCATTTACCTCTTCTGCCGTAAGACCGAAATCATTTGCAGGAACTTTTCGATACTTAAATTTCGTTATAGTGTCACCAATTATGTCTTCGTAGTCTAGAGCATAATACTCATTAAAATACTCCTCAAAAGACTTCGTCCCTAGAATATTTGTTTCAATAATACTTCGTCCTTCAGCTGCACAGAATGAATAAATCCATTTAAAATGTTGTTCCGCACTAAATCTTTTTACCAAAATCCAATACATGCTGAAGAGCAAGATTTACGACTAATTCCTAAATAATATTGCTTTAATGTTCGGGTTATCCAAGTATGGCATTGAACTAGAAAGGTATCGGCCCGTTAAAAACAAAGCAATAGCAATTAAGCTCAAAAACCTGGATCAAAAAGAGGCTTCTTTTTTGCAACAACGTTCCAAAATCGAGAATTCCGTTTCTTTTTTCTCGCAGTCATTGATTTTTCTCTGAAAGGGTTTTCTTGGAAATTTGTCTCTAACAAACTCGACTTTTCATCGGCTGCAGGTGAACGAACCGCCTGGTCACTGTTAGACTAAAATTAAGAGCATTTTCAACAAAAATTGAAAAAACAGTAATTTTTATAACAGTTACCCCTTCTTCTTCCGACATATCAGACATTTCAGAAAAACAAGGTTTTTCTTCGTCCTCATCGCCTTTATCATAATACTCCTTATTAAAAATAGCCTGAAACAAACAGAAATTGAATCTACAAAACTCCTACCTGCTTATGCATAGTTTTAAGTTTGAAAACCGTTCCGTAGTTTTTCCAGTACACCAATATTAATATCAGAAGTAAACAAAAAACGTACTTCCATTCTTTTGTCATAAACTGCCGGATCAAAATCATCCTCAATGTCATTAAAGTTAATTTCGATATCATCTCCAGCGAGTTGCTTCAACTTTTGCAGTTTAGCTTCAATCTCTTTTCTTTTCAGTGCCTTTAACTCACGTATTTCATCTTTTCTAGCTCGCTTCTCAGCATCTTTCCTTTCCTTATAAGCGGTTCTCTTCTCTTTCCTTTTTTCTCCCGTCTTTCTCAGTGACTCTTTCACAGATCGTGGGTATTGCTTGATCTGAAAAACAGCTCAATTATCACATTTGGTACTTCTTCTCATATATGATGGAACCATTTACAGAACTTTAACTAACAAAATCCTTATCCGGCTCTTCGAAACGAAAATTGTACTTCTGTTCGAACTCCTCTTCTCTTTCCACTTCATCTTCGTCGGCACTCACTGATGCATCGCCTTCTAAGGAAGGAATTCTAGAAATAGTTCAAACCCTTACAAACGTTAACCTTATCGTTTGGTAAGCTTTCTTCTAAGAAAAACCTCAATAAAAAAATAAGTAATACATCAGAATTTTATGATATAAAATGGTCACCTGCCCAATTCATCGACCTCGTACTTCTTTTCTAACAGAAAGTCACGAAGAAATTTTTCTTCACTGTCCAGGTCCCTATCATTAGACCAAATTTCTTTTAGTCCTTTCTTAAAAAATAGTATAGAGGCCTTGTAATGAAACAAAGATGCTGAATTCATTAAAATAAATATATTATTCACTCAAGTTAGCAACTGCTCAGTAAAAAAAGAGGTAAGGATATTAAAAGTTTAACATATTTTGGAAAAGTAAAGAATCTAACTATGAGACTTAATATACTCAACTGCAGATAAAAGATTTTACCAATCTCTCGAATTTCTTATTACTTTTACTTGATTGGTCTTTCAGCCATTCGTAGTAATCATCTTCTTCTTTCTTCTAAATGTTCAAATAGACTGACGCCTGATTAAATACTATATTTTCTTACTAAATGAAAAAAGATGTTATCCCTTACCAATTCAACTTCCGACTTTTCCTTCTTCTTCAGCAACACATCGAAATCAACCTCTGTCCCAGCATTCCAAGCGTGTTTAAGCCTAGAATGTTCTACAGTTACATAACTACTCAACAGTGACTTTCAGTTGCTGAAAAAGCAGATATCAGCGAATAACCCTCCATGCCAACTATTAACTACTGAGAAGAAAAACAAATAAAATACACATGCAGCCTCACTCATTCTTCAATTGCGCTTGCTTTTGATAGTAGCCTAGAGTGTTCTCTGAACTCCTCAATTCTTCATTATCCTCTTCATCAATAATCCTGAAATACACGCAAATGAACAAGTATTTAATGCAAATAAGCTCAGCAATAAAGGCTCACCCTCCTCTTTCTAAGACCAATTTTCTCTCATAATCCTTCAAATAGAGCTTTTCTTCAGATTTCTTCTTCTTCGACTCAGATTTTGGTTTAACCCTAGAACAAGAAACTCTGCATCCATTGTAAGAAGTAAAGACGCAACTCTTTCGCAAAAAGATATGTTTCATCAGAAAATAATTTGATCTAACTGTCATGAACAAAATCAAATGCAAAATACTAACGGCCCAGGTTCTGCTTTGAAAATCTGTTCCTGCGAATATATTTTGGGGTCTTTTGTTTTTAAGGCAGTTAAAGTTAGTAAAAAATCTTTTTCGTGGTCTGCTGTCCACTCCTATAACCCGTATTGAATTATAAATTTCACGTAAAAGAACTTCCAATTGTTTAAATAAAATTCAAACACATCTGAACTTTTTTAATCCCCATTAACCACTGAAAACCAGTGACCGCTTAAAGGAGAAAATGACAGAATAATGCTCAACGGCAGTAATAGAGAAAGAATTGAACTTGAAAATTTCTAAAACTATTATATTACCTCAATAATTAAAGTTTTTAAAAGAAATTGCAGCTGCGATCAAGAATTGCCAAGCCGCTGTAACTTATAAAATGCTACAAATCTAAGAATCTCAAAGCTGCTTCTAACACTTGTCCTTCCAACTTCATTCTGCGAACAGGAGCTATTGTATCTTAGTAAATGTGAAAAGCAAATGAAAGATGAAACTAATAATAACTGTCACAGTAAAAAAAAGGTAGCCACTGTACTACGCATAATGAGCCACTGGTGCTAAAGATGGAAAACAGAACTGAAACAAACTGTTTACTAAAGAAACTCAAAAGCCAAAAACACTTACCGCTTCTTCCTCACTGGACTCACTACTTTCCTCGTCTTCGTCATCTCTCACTCGACTCTTTACTTAAAAAATTACAATAGTTTTTCAAAATCTACTGGTTAAAAAGTACTAATTTAGTGCCACAGAAAAGCCTAACACTTCTGAATCTCTTCAAGCCTTCTCCAGTTATCGTACCGGTCTGCGTACGCTGAATTAATTGTTAATTCGTCGTTACCATCATTGTCAAGGTCAAGCTTCAATTTAACCATCTGAGAAAAAAATTCGAACGTGACGTGACGCTAGATTCTAGCTTTGCAAGGAAAACACTCGAAGCTTCTAACTGGAACTGCACCTGAAATAACCCGTCGTCAAAAAAAGGCAACTATTCAATCCCTAACAGATTTAGCGTTCATCGTGGCAACATCATTAAAACAGTTTCAAAATAAACTTCTTTCTAACCGATGCACTTTTTTATCCCGTTTCGAAACTTGCGACAATTATCTATTATATATATCTGTGACCTTATTCCTGCAGTTTTCCTCAAAAAAACTTCTCCACCCAGTATTCCTTCCTGGCCTGATCGGGTGAAGAAGCTACACCATGCAACTTTCTCAAGACTACTAAATTTACACGTCACTTTCTAATTCTTCCCATCTTTCTTACAACTCCTTGGATATACGCTCTGCCAAATGTCCATTCGTTTCCGAGATGCCTATTAACTCGTAACAACAGCGATGCGGACTAATCGTTTCTATCTTAGCTGGTAAACTCTGAAAAGTTCCGTGCCGCGTGTTAATTATACACCTCGCTGCCAACAATAAAAAAACTTCGCTTGTTTTGCCTTTTAGCCCTTGAGCTTCCGTAAATCTTCGGTGAGACTAACTGACTAGTGTTTCAGTTTACCAGCAACACTTCACTTTACCACTAGAACTCATACTCGCAAACGCATGATACACTGCTTATTTCCTCCTTTCAGCTTCTTGAAAAGAAATACATTACGTTCACACCAGAGCGGTCCCGGCCCAAAGAAATACCTCCAAGCTAACAAACCATTACTTCTTTCAAACTAAGGGAGTTCAACAAACCCACCCTACTAAAAACAGAACCCGTTTGAAAAAGTAGTGAAATCGAAGCATCCCCACCCAAAACACGCACCGAATTATCGAGACACCAGCCTCCTCCATCAAGAGTCGCCTACCGCGGTAGGTAACTGTAGCAGAAAAACCGTAATTATGCAAATCAAAACTCTCAACACCAAATTAGCAGCACCAACCCTGCAATCCCAAAAACTTATCCAAGAATTTCTTCTCAGAGATTACAATGGCAGGTAAGCCTGTCTAACACCACAACAAAATTCCTTGCTTGATGCTGTGCCCGAATGAACAAAAACTTCATTTCCATACTATCGTTTCGAAAGTACTAATAAATGCCCGCAGTTTATTAAAAAACAAAGTGGAGAATGCACGAACGC